CGGTGGTCCGGTCACGCTACCGTTGTTGGCATCGATGCTGTGTGAGGTAAAGCGGGCTTTGAGGATCATTTAATTCAGGAATCATCCATGGTGGACCATGTTTAGATAAGTTAGCTCTGAAAGCAATGCACCTATTAACAAGAACGCAGTCAGGACACAAAATACAGCCTTGGATACAGCCTTGTTGCGTTTGCTGAAGGAAAGATGTGCTACGGATTTTCGTAATAAAATGTTTCAAAAAGTCTCGGTAGGATGAGACCTGACATCGTAACTGCCCGTACAACCATGGCATGGTCAAATCCGACAGATTTGATCCGATCATCATCTGATTCGATCCGATCAGAATCCGATGCGATCCAATCAGAATCCGGTTTTATCCGATCAGAATCTGGTTTGATCCGATCAGAATCCGATTCGATCCGCTCAAAGTCAGATTTGATCCGATCAGAACCCGATTATGGTCAGATCAAGTGTCACGAAAGCATCCGCATTGCACGACGGGCAATTTCGCTACCACTTCCCAAAGACCGATTGTTGAGAACTTGTGCCGACTTGTTCATCTCCACGAGGTAGCCTACGTGGTTGTGCTCGTAAACGTCTGTCCAGAATAAATATTCGAAACATACATCACGAATCAGTCATCTTTAGCTTTGCATCGCCAGTATTTGCGTGTCGGCACTATCTCCCGTCCCGGCCTCCTCCACACAAAAATAACGAGTTTTTTCGAGGTCAAAACAAAATTCGTGTCGTTCCGACCATGTTGCCTTGTCGGTGGACGCGCCTCCGGCCAGGTTTTGCGTTTATAGTGTTCTGATACGACGCGTTGGCGTTAACCACCGCGCAAATTTGTAGTCTTTCAGCACGCATTTTTCAGTCGTGTAAGCGAATGTTTGATAAAACCAGAAATCGCTGATTGTCTTTCCGTTTGTGACCGGTTTTGTACCAGACCCATTGCCAGGTGTTTCCAAGGATGATGAAGCCGACTCACAGCATACCAGTGTGCCGGATGGGTGCAGCGTACTACGTGCGGGGCCGCAGCGCCGCATGACCTCACGCCACGTGACATACTTAAGCAGGTGTCCCAATATTACAGATAAACAAAGATGCCGCGGTGTTTTGTGTTGAACCTGTCCCGCGAGTTTCTTCAGATTGCTGGACAACATTTTGTCCATCACTTTGGTGCCGCGAGCCCGAAATGCCACTACGGGACGCACGGCCCCCCCTCTCCGATCGGCTCAACGCAATTGTCCCCCGCTCGCGCCTCCGCGGCTTTTCGGCAGTCCAGCACGACCCTGTCCGCCGCTCTCCCCGCAGCCGCCCACAGACGGCGGTGGCGCGGCGTCCCGGGCCGGACACCTCGGTGGGCGCGCTGTGTACCCGACATTCCTCCCGGCGGCGGAGTGTCCCGGCGGACGGAGCGCCAGTTCTTTCCTTTTCCGTCCCTCGTTCGGCAGCCGGTGTGCTCCCGGTGTGCTCCCGGTGGCTCCCGGTGCGCCCCCTGCTCTCACGACACTGTGCCCCGTCGTCTCGAAGTCACAACGGCCGTTGCCGGCTTGGGGTGCCTTTTGCAGGCACCGTGAGGTTTGCTTGTGGAAAACTGCTATCCGCGTGAATCGCGCGAAGGTGTCGTTTCAAACCTCGGAGCGAAGTCACTGCCTCGGTGCTGTCGCCAGCGTCATTTTGTATCCAGCTGCTTGAAATCCGCTATTCCATCCGCTGTTGGGCGTAAGCCTGTTCTGGCTCACCGATTTCGAAGCCGAATTTCAAGCCGTCGCGCCTGGAGGCACTGTTGTGGTTCGGCGCCCACGAGCTGCTGGGGACGCCTGCGCCGCCGTCGGTGTTTTGCACCACCATGCAGTGGTCGTCAGTTACGGCGCACTGCTGTGTCTGGTGGGGCCGACCACGCACCGCTGCCTCACCTTCGGGGGGGTCGCCGTATTGTCGACTCTGAAAACACCGGCGCTGCTGAATCGTGGCGCAGTGAGTCGCTGGGCTGGGGGGGATCTGTGTCGGTGTATGTTATCGGGATCTGTGTCGGTGTATGTTATGGGATCTGTGTCGTCTTTGTTTGTATCGGGATCTGTTTCGGTTGTTTGTATCGGATCTGTCGGCGTATGTATCGGGATCTGTGTCGGTGTATGTATCGGGATCTGTTTCGGTGTATGTATCGGGATCTTGTCGGTGTTTTATATCGGGATCTTTGTCGGTGTATGTATCGGGATCTGTGTCGGTGTTTGTATCGGGATCTGTGTCGGTGTATGTATCGGGATCTGTGTCGGTGTATGTATCGGGATCTTGTCGGTGTTATCGGGATCTGTGTCGGTGTATGTATCGGGATCTGTGTCGGTTTTGTATCGGGATCTGTTCGTGTATGTATCGGGATCTGCGTCGGTGTTTGTATCGGGATCTGTGTCCGGTGTATGTAGCGGGATCTGTGTCGGTGTAATGTATCGGGATCTGTGTCGGGTGTATGTATCGGATCTGTTCGTGTATGTATCGGGATCTGTGTCTGGGTGTTTATCGGGATCTGGTCGGTGTATGTATCGGGATCTGTGTCGGTGTTTGTATCGGGATCTGTGTCGGTGTTTTGTATCGGGATCTGTGTCGGTGTTTGTATCGGGATCTGTGTCGGTGTATGTATCTGGATCTTTGTCGGTGTAGGTATCGGGATCTGTGTCGGTGTTTGTATCGGGATCTGTGTCGGTGTATGTATCGGGATCTGTGTCGGTGTTTTGTCGGATCTGTGTCGGTGTGTTGTATCGGGATCTGTGTCGGTGGTTTGTATCGGGATCTGTGTCGGTGTATGCATCGGGATCTGTGTCGGTGTATGTATCGGATCTGTGTCGGTGTTTGTATCGGGATCTGTGTCGGTGTTTGTATCGGGATCTGTGTCGGTGTATATCGGGATCTGTGTCGGTGTTTGTATCGGGATCTGTGTCGGTGTTTGTATCGGGATCTGTGTCGGTGTTGTATGATCGGGATCTGTGGTCGGTGTATGGTCGGTATAACGGTGGGATAGATGTCCTGCAAATTTCCATTCGCCGTTTGAGTTATTTGTCCATTGTTTATTTGATTGTCTTCCATTTTCTTCATTCGTTCCACGTTATGTGTTTAGCGGTCTGTATCAGATGGCAAATGATTTCCGATAGGAAACCGTACGTTGCCAACAAGAGCGACTGTGTTTAGTAGGATTGTGTGACACCAAAACGATGCTCACATCCTACCGACACATGCACACCCTCCCGTTTGACCAAATAGGCAATGCGAAAAAACTGAATATAAAAATGGCTTATGCCTGATGTTCTGAGAAAGGTCCTCTGTTGTGATCATTGCGACCCCCCAATTACAAATATCAGTCTTGCGTATCATCAGAGCCCAATGATGGAGGCTTTAAATTGCAGGTACCATCTTTCCTTTCCGATTAGGACGTAGAAAGTGACCGCATATGAATGAACATCTAAGCGCCATTCATCTTTGGTTCAGCAATGCCTGGCCAGGCAGTCAGGGTTTTGCGTGCGTTGATACGTATGCGGAGTGGTACCCATACAGATGACTGGATTTCCTTAAAAAATGTATTTTTTACGCGGTCCGTGTGTCAGATATCGGAACGCCTTACATCCGCACGCAGTGTGCGATGCGGATGAACGCAGTTTTCCATACTTTTATGGGACGGGCGCCGTAGCCCCACAAAAGCTCCCAATTTTTGGTTCGTGGTCGCGGACGAATGGTCCATCAATGCGACATGCTGTTTTGATTAAATAGCAAAGTCGTTTAAGCTGGTGCGCCTCCCACGGCATGCATGTGGAAATCCGCTCCCCACGGCATCATGTGGAAATCCGCTCCCCACGGCATCATGTGTGAATCCGCCTCCCACGGCATCATGTGTGAATCAGCTCCCCACGGCATCATGTGTGAATCGCCTCCCCACGGCATCATGTGGAATCAGCCTCCCCACCATCATGTGTGAATTAGCCTCCCCACGGCATGTGTGAATTAGCCTCCCCACGGCATCAGTGTGTGAATAGCCTCCCCACGGCATCGTGTGAATAGCTCCCCACGGCATCATGTGTGAATCCGCCTCCCCACGGCATCATGTGTGAATCCGCCTCCCCACGGCATCATGTGTGAATCAGCCTCCCCACGGCATCATGTGTGAATCCGCCTCCCCACGGCATCATGTGTGAATCCGCCTCCCCATGGCATCATGTGTGAATCAGCCTCCCCATGGCATCGTGTGTGAATCAGCCTCCCCACGGCATCATGTGTGAATTAGCCTCCCCACGGCATCATGCGTGAAGGACGTTCACAGCTCCACCCGCGTCTGTCGGCAGTACGTGACTCCTCTGGCCATGGCCATCGTGCTGGGCACACTGATCGCCGGGCAGTACGGCTTCCTGCCCGTCAGAACCAAGCAGGTGGTGAAGAAGCTGCAGCGGCTTCACTACGAGTCCCACCTGGAGCCGCCCCACCGCCGACACCGCCGCGCGCTCGGCGAGGAGGCGCTGGACTGGCTGCTGCAGGTACTGCGCTGGGGCGGGTGCGGGTACAGGCTGCGGATGGGGGCCAGGGTACAGGTGCCGTGTGCCTGGGTACAGCTTTTCAGCCGGGCGCGGGCTGATTTTTTAGCCAAGCAGGGCGCTGCTGGCCCTCGTTTGACCTGAGAGAAGATAACAGCGTCAGATCTCAGGGATGTATTTGATAGAAACTTAAAAGCACGATGGTAATGCGTTTGGGATGCAGTGAGTACCGATATTACCTGAGGACCAAACAACTTCCGGGCCATTAAAGTAAAATTCAGCGAATGAAACACATTGTATCTCCAAAAAGACCTGACGAGGTAAAACCCAGCTGGTTGCGCCAAGGCAACACTTGCGAGACGCGCTGGTGCCTACTCCCCGGGAAAGCTAGATCACTTTGCGGCAGATGTGGGGCACCGTTGTTTGTGGCTCACGTACTAGATGAGTGTCGGGGCTCCGAGATTGAGCAGAACCGCTGTCTTAAACTGAGCCGCATTACCTAGCTTCTCTATTAAGTGATCCCTTGTCGATCGATCCTCGGGCAGTTTTGATCTTTCTGAGAAACACGGACTTCAAACTTTGGTATTCACCGGCCCAGACAACTGAACATGTGCATACCACATGGTGTGGGTACGTTTTGTTTCTAAGCCGTACTGTTCTGGTAAGCAGCTGACGGGCGTGCTGACACGTAATGCTGGCAATCTGTTGTCAGATTCTGTTCATAGTTTGCTGACGTAGTTCCTTAAAAACAAAGCGCGGACACAAATTACCAACGTAGTTGAAACCCTGTATCTGACAACTGAACACGGTTTTGAGCTTGTGGGACCGGGGTACACTTACGTTGCAGTTCAAGGTACGGGTTTGAGGTACACACATGTGACTGAGAGCAGATGTTGGATTTGCAAGACATCTGATCGTATTTGCCACGTGTCTTATGGTCTTTGGAATGAATATAATGGGTCAAACGTTCTCAGACGCTTCATACGCTGGATGAGGCAACAGCCCGCCTTGCAAACGGCCAACGAACTGGAGGCAAACGGAGCGGCACGTGGAAATAGGCGTGAGCATTCCAAGTCGTCTGGATAGCAGCGGTTGTACCTTTTGGTGGCGGGAAATTCATTAACACTCCTGCACACCAGTGGCCGATGTGTCGTTTGTTTGAGTACGCTCAACTTGAACTTAAGAGTTCAAGTTGGGCGTACCCAAACAAACTTTAAGAAATCCTAAAAGACACGTTAAGACCAACACTAAGACGGCAACTGGAACATTGAATATAAAACTATTAACTTAGATCTACAGATAACTTGTTTATTGAAGCTTATAACAAACAGATTAACCAACATGTCTGCTTATTTCTTGTTTATGGCGCCTTGATCACTGAAAACCGTTAAGTTCGGCACGAATCATTTCGTGGGTTGTTTGACATTTTCACAAGACAGTTAAAAAAAGACAGGATCACCATACCACATCGAATTAAGACAACGTTCTGAAGCCTATTCAGTGAAGTGAGCTATGATGTTTTCAACTGCGCTGAAAAAGACATTGGTCGTTTTTCTAAGTCATAACGGTGTTTCTCTTCCATGCGTATATGCACGTTTGATGTACTCCCGTCGAATGCATGCGTTAATCATTTTGATTTTGCAGCATTCTGAACCTGCGACTGGTGACGCTGACTGAACAATGCCTCAAAGACTCTGCAGCGGCTCTGCATGGAACCCATTTTTGACATCACACCCAGGAAAATAGTCATGAGAACTGTGGCAGCGCTTGAGCTGGCAACGGCCATTTGAGAGCTTTTATAAGTTCAGTTTGATCTTTCGCCTTGTCGATGACAGGTTTGTGTGCCATTGACAATGTTTCAAGATCATGCAGGCTCAGATGGATATGTGCGACTGGTAAACGTCTAACTGATCGGGTCTTCAAGTCATCCAGGCTGCCAACGTGCAATTTTGGCTGTTGAATTGATGCGTTGTTACGATGACCTGTTTCATACGTTTCACATTGCTTTTTACCACATAGCCTATGTATGTGTGACAACATGATGCTCTAAGGTGTTTTATTGGAGCTGTTCCGTTATTTTTTGGCTATATGTGCAAATGTGTCCAATAACTTAGTCTTTATGTACCTTCTGCCTTTATTTGTTTGGAGGCACTGGCCATTTTCCGCTTGCATTATTAGACAAGAACCTGATTTGGTACCAACTATAAAATCCACTGAAACAGGATGAGCAGGGAAGAAACTTATCATTCGTCGCCACCTTTATCAAAGTAGTCAGTTCATTTTGCTCCACAACAGCTTTTGTTTCGTCATTATCTACCAAGTTATTAGTTAATTTTGAGAACTTGGTACGATGGGGCAAAATTATAAACAGCGCAAACGTGAAATGGCGAATAGGTGCAGCATAAACCAGTAGAACGCCTGCGGAATTTTTTTTCGTTTCTTCTTACAGCCCGGACGACAAACCACGGGTTTTGCTCATGCTCGTCACATTTGTTGTAAATTCGATTTCGCACCACATGGGGTCTCTGTCTAATGATGAGAATAAAGCATGCATATCTTCCTAGTTTGTCCTGTTTAATATGGTCCACTGGCCTCTGGAATGTCCTCAGCAATACGACACGCACTGTTCTGCTGTCAGTCTCACCCTCACCGATATACGTATGTGATAATCAGAACCCATTTGACACGGCTCTGGTCAACATTGTCGTAACAGGCGATAAAGCGACAGCTCCGAGCTCACAACAGCCATTGTCAAAGTTGAGTAAGTCTTAGCCATTGCGAGGGCTAATTTCGCTATGCACTGTGATCAGATCTTTTCTCTGGTTGCCAAAGGTTACAATGTGGTGCCAAAACATTGCAGGAGGTTATATAGATTACTCGCTATGCCCAGATCGACTGGAAACGATGTACAAAGCACGTGCAGCAAGTTTGGCGCGTGGCAAATCAGCTGTGGGTCGCGGGTGAAACTCTAGCCCGGCGCGCATGTGAAGCGCCGTTGACAAAAACAGCGGCCATCGGGAACCGGTTGGTCGCCTGTCAGCGCTTCCGTCAGGGCACCGAGGCATGGCGCTGTGTGACGGATGCCCCACCGGCGCGGCGCGGGAGCTTTCCAGGCCCGGGACCCGGTTTGGAGGCCCCAGGGGCCCATGAGTATGGGTTGGAAGTTCGATGGGCGTCGTAAGCTGTCAACAAGTACCGCGGTCCTGGGCCCCAGAAGTCCTCGCACCTCCAGGGGGAGAGGCGGAGATGTAGTTTCTGTCAGTAGGGTTGGCTCCAGCCCGTCCCCCCCCCCCCCCCCCACTTGGGAGCCGCTTGCCCTAAATTTGAGAAAAGTTGGCGGAATCCATAGAGAACTCCGCTTCTTGGTGGCTTTTCGGAGTAGATTTTGTCATGTTTCACTGCTCATCCCTTCCCCCAACTCATTTAGCGAAACTACTCCCCCTGGATGGGGCTGGGGAGGGCGATCCCGAAATCCCCCCTCCCTTGGCTACGCCAGTGGTGCAGACCCTCATCAAACGTGGACTCAACACCATCTGAGTGTTGGGTCATGGCGTGGCGGGTGTTGGGGCCAGTTCGTTATATCTTGACGTGACATTTCAATTTGATACCTAATTAAGACTCATACTTAATTATTTCTCGCGTTCCACTCGCAGACACATGATAAGCAGTTCATGAAGGCTTTGCATGCTCTTATGGAGCCCTGGTATGCCTCCAGTTGATGTGTGTATGGTGTGGTTGATGTGTGGTATCCGCCCTCAGTGGCCTCGAATCGCCTCCACAAGGCTGGTATGACTCCACGGAGGTCTGGTATGACGTCCAGAGGTAGGCGTGACTGACAATATGTACGTGCCGCTTCATGAGGTGCGTGTTCGCGGTGCCACTCTTCTGCGGGGGCCGTCCGTACCTGAACAATTCTGGCATTTTGAATCCGCTGATATAATGCCAGATACTGACCTGACAGCTCCCATTGTTTCGCTTTTTTGAGATCCGACATGCCAAAATGAGGCTATTTTGACGATATTTGCTACGCATTGCAGTGTTCATTTAACGTGCACACAGTCGGAGGCGACTGACCTCGATCCATGCTGAAATCTGCTTGTTGAATACATTCCATTTTATTCTGGTCAGCATATTGAGAGACGCATTACGAATACTGTACCAGCTGTCACAGCGTTTCAGCGGCTGTATCAGCATCAAGGTTTGTTCAGACCTTTTCATGGCCGTGCTCCAAACAGTTGAACACAAATACCTGTGGCGCCGATAGCTGCACGTCAATGTTGACTCGTCGATATTGGCGCGTCGATATTCGGCGTGTCGATATTTTGCGGTTGGTAGGCTGTTCAGTGATATTTTGCGTGTCGGTATTTTGTCATGTAATATCTGGGCTAAATCGGGTGCCATCACTCACCTAACAGCCTTCTGTGGGCCTGCTTAGCCGCCGCCTCCTTTATCCATCGCTGTAAAATGTGTGCTTTTGTCCGCGAGCACATAACTGGCAGCAGGTGACGACTTTGAGAGATAAAGCCAGGGAACGTCACCAACGAAGTCATTGTCAATTCAACACTGTGTTATCCTTCCTACGTAATCCCTAAATTCGCTTATGCCAGCCAATGATCTTGTAAAGATGCGACGAATGACCACATCTGATGTGCTTTATGATATGAACGCATATTTCAGACGCACTGGGCTTCTGTAGGTGTAGGCGATGTCGGTAATAAGGTAGGCAATCTAGCAATGCAGGCGTCTGGAAATACCTTGATTTGCCCTGGCACGCCTGTCACAAGCTATCTCTGCGGGGCCTCTCCTGTAGACGGTGCAGAGCATCTAAAATGGGTCGAAATTTACAAACATAAAGGTCAAGGGAAGCATTACCAAATTTTGGACTTTCTATCTGAGCAATCTGCGTACATTGCTGGGTCGTAGCCTCCTTTGGTCACAGCATAACTCCCTGCACTGCGTTCTGGCTCTCGGTCACCGAAGATCTTGCCGTTATTACGGCCTCCTCTAATTCCAGATAGAGTCTCTTGCACACGACCACTCCCATCCATACTCGATCCCGTCATACCTGGGGTATCGTCTCGATCGTTACAACAACCAGCGGCCGTACCAGGCCCTGGAACAGTTCAGGCACTGAAATGACACCTGGCGATCCAGGCAGATGCATGGCTGTCATCTATATATGCATTTATTTCCACGTGCTGTCTGGCTTAATGAGCTTTCACTGGACGTCAAAATACATAAATGGCCTACTCCGCCCACTCACATCTGCGCCACAAACATTGGGACGCGTCATTGGATTCAAGTACGAATGGTGGTGTCAAATATAATGTCTAACATGTCTATCTCTGGCCTAAATAATGGCGGAATCTTGGTCGCGGCCATCAAGTTTAGCTTGGCTCCTTGGCTCGGGCTGCATCAGGCATGCATCGGTGCCTAAGTTTTCGGTGAGTAGTCAGGCAATGTTTCTAATGGGGCAAACCAAGTAAAATGCTGGTAATATATCCCTATGTGATATGTGTCATGGAATGGAAAAACTTTATTTCAGCGGTTACATAAATAGTTATAAATCTAGATGAACAAACGTTTATGGAAACTGCGATTTGACACCATATAATGTCATCTTTGTTGTTGGAAAGGTGCTAAAGTGGACCCTGAAATTTGGTTACGCAGGGCTTAAATTGTCTTAATGGAAGCGCCGCTAATGACATGTTGCTAGCCATGGCTAAACTCATGGTCCCATCACAGCCGCTGATCATGTGCATTAGATCGATTTCGGGCTGCAAGGGGGCTCCAATAGTTTTAGGTTACTCAAAAATATATATTCATCCACTTTGCGCACCTGGTGGTGCCTCTCACTGGCGATGACACGTAGCTCGAGAGACAGGTGCTTGAACATTTCGAAGACTGCAGCGAAGGGTGCCGATGGTGTAGAGGTTAACGTGTCTGCGTTAACCACTTCGCGTCTGGGAAACTAGGGGTACGGGGTTCGATTCCTTGCGGTGCCCGCTCCTCCTGCTATGGCGAGAGTCACATGGCCTCAGCCAGGGCGAGAGTCATATAGCCGAAACGCCATATAGTCATAGCCTCAGCAACTGATTGCGTCGTACAGCCTGATGACGGAACCGACAAAGATTGCAGCACTCAGGGATAGCCATGTCAAGGTCGAGTGAACAAGCACCGAAGGAATTGTAATGTTTTCGTCGTTTCGCGTATGTGGAGGATTAACATAGAGCACCCGAATGTTCGCCTAAATGTAGGATTGTTAGATGGCGGAGGAATTTTTCATAGACCAACCTCTTGAGAGCCGAAACCAACTTTCTACATAACATGATCAAACAATGCGGGTGCTGCGCCGGGCCAGCTTTACCACCAGTGTCAATTGGCATGCAGGGACGGGGACGGAGAAATGTGCACTACCGCCCATCCGCGCAATGTAAAGGATGCCTGCACGAGC